ATACACAAGGTCTCATGTGCTCGGGGGTGCTGTCTTTGGGGGCTGCTGTGGACTGGTGTGGGGCAGAAGGCAGGGCTGGGGGTGGTTTGGAAACGTGGTCCTGGAGACCACAGGGAAGAGTGGGGAAGAGTGTTCCTGCCCAGCTGAGTATGATTCTCCAGTATCCTTCCCCAGACTGGGTCGGCCTCCCAGCTATTTTTATATTCAGGAGAGCCCTGCCTTGGGAGGGGCCGACGGAACTGGAGAGTCAGGAGACCTGTGGCCCCTCATCGACGGCTGGGGCTGGGAGAGAATATAGAGAATGGAATGAAGATGTGGGCTGGTGGAACCCGGCAACACAGGCAGGCAGACCTTTCTGGAGAGGGCGAACTTGGGGACCAGGCACCAGAACACAGCACCTGAAGAGGAACCCCGTGATCTGGGGACCAGAGAAGGGATCACGGAACTCGTGAGGAGGAAGATGGAGCAGTGACCTAGAATGTGGGGTCCTGGAATACTGCCAGCCAGAAGCTGGAAGATCTGCCTGTGCCCCTCCGCAAATAATAAAAAGTGGGGAAACTGAGGTCCTGCAGAACGGGAGGCCTGGATGGTGAGCTGCAGTGGCACGAGACGTGGGTTCTGGAGCAGCCAGACCTCTCCACAGCTCGCTGCTGCCGCTGGACCTGGGGCTGGGCTAGTCCCGTCCCCTCCAAACCTCAGTTCCCCTCCAAAATGGTCATGATGGTGAGACAAGATGGAGCACTTCACCTCAAGAAAAGCTCAGGTTTCTCCGGGTGCAAGCTATGGCATTGCCAAGGCCTGGACCCCTGGCCACTGACTCTGAATGACTCTGTCCCTTGTGGTGATGGTCTGTCCCTGCTGCTCCTTTCTCTTTCTTTTTCTCACACTCACAGTGGGGACACATTGGCACACTTATGCCCCTTCCCTGAATGCTCGATCTAGCAGAGGGAAAGACTAGTCAGAGGAGTAAGAACAGACTGGCTGCGGCTCCATATGAAGCCAGAGCAGGCCCCCGTGGCTCACAGCCCCGGTATGCAGGTGCCCTGTGCCATTTGGTGAATGTTTTGAGTGTCCCCCAGTGGAGACAGTCGGGTCCTGAGCCGAGGGCGCCACGGCCCCCTGGGGGCAGGGGGGGGGTGGGCAGAGGATTGGGAAGGGAAAAGAGAAAGGCTCATTGTCCCAGCTCCACGGAGGCTCCCCCAGGCTGACATTCGGGCCACCTCCCCTGGGAGGCTCCCAGAGCCGAGCCGTGATCTGGGCCAGAAATCACCTGGTCACTTCCCCAGATCCCCGTGAGATGGTGCTACTGTACCCGCCACTGCCTCCTGCAGAGTAGATTCCAGAGTTGGGGGTGGGGGCAGAGCTGTCCCAGCCCTCCTTGAGCTACTAGCCGCAGGCCGGGCATTGTGCCAGGCACTGATGGGGTGACAGAGGTGAACTGAGCACCCAGGTGTGAACTGAGATCCCTTCCTGTTTTCCTCTCCTTGCTGTCTTCCCGACCACCAGCCGTGGCCCTGCAGCCAGAGCTGGGTTGGAGCTCCTTTCCTGCTCCCCTCCAACACCACTTCTCCCATTGGGACCTGGCTGAGTTCTGTACATGAGCCAATTGGGTGTGTGCCTTTACCCAGGCAGGGACTAGGGGACTTTTCCAACCTGACCAGGTTGTGGTGAGAGCCCAGCAGCACTGACTGCAGGTTCAGGTGTGATTTGGGGGTAGGGTCTGTCGTGGCCCTCCCTCCTTTTTGCATCAGGCTCGTGCTGGGGCCAGTCTTATAGCTAATGGGGCACCGTCCAGTTTAGGGTGTGGAGCCCTGGGGGGTGGTGAGTGCAGCTCAGTCCCTCTGCAGTCTGGGGAATTGCAGTTCATCTGAGCCTACCTGGGCAAGGAGTGAAAGATTACACAGAAACCTGGAGCCTCCTAGAGGATTTGGATTTTATCCTGGGAGCAGGTGTGCCAAGCTGAGAGGGACAACATCAGATGTGGCTTTTGCTTGGCTCGTGGGGCTCAAGCCAGGAGCCCCTTCCCTGGTAAGGCTGCTGCTGTTGTCCAGGTGAGTGGGGATGGTGGCGCAGGCAGCGTGGGACAGTGGCACAGGTGGCCGGGTGGGACGACAAGTACCTGGGCATCGAAGAGATGTGCCTGGCGGTGGGGAGCTCGAGGTCAGTGAGAAGCCAGATTCAGGATGACTGCCGGGCTCCTGGCCTGGGAGACTGGGTGGATGGTCACATCTCGGCTTATCAGCTCAGGTTTCGGGAACCACTATTTGAGCGAGTTCTTTGTGCCTGGTTTTG